TGTATCTTTGAACCCTCCGCGGACGCCGTTAAGCAGCAGGGTAACGGAGCGAGCGCCGGCCCGCCGGTAACGGTCCGCCGTCGCCGCCGCCGCCGCTGCCGCCGCCCGAGTCGGCACCATGGCGTCACGCGGAGCGGTCGGCCGCACTCTTGTGCTGCTGGTGCCGGCCTTGCTGCTGAGCTCGGCCTCGTCAGCCGGAGTCAGGGCAGTGCTGGACCCTGGGGCGCACACGGGCTTCGCTCGCTCCTCATCCGGCGAGCACGGCTCTTCCGGCTGTCCGTCGAAGGGCAGCAGCTTCTCCACCTTCGGCTTCCTCAGTTTCCTTCTCATCTGCTTCAACACCGTCATCAACGTCATCAACAACATCAATAACAACAATAACAATAACAATAACAACAATAATAACAATAACAATAATAATAACAACAACAATAATAACAATGCCGCTGCCGGCGGCGGTGGCGGTGGTGGTGGCGGCGGAGGGGGCATCATCGGAAGACAACTGGACAGCTTTGGTGGCTCTCGGGACCCCCTCAACATCACCAGCTACCTGCAGGAGGCGGCGCCGTGCGGTTGCACGAGCCCGGCGCAAACAGCCAGCAGCCAAATGTCGCAGTGGCTGGTCGACATGTTCACCGCCTACCCCGAGTGTCTGGTGCGGACGGCCTGCGAGATGGCCAGCCAGCTACCTTCTTCTCTGCAGATCGCGCTCACCAGGTAGGCGCGTATTTCGCTTTTAATCCGCATTTGTCGTTTGATTGGTCTTTTGATCTTCGTTTTTCGTTTGACTGGTATTTTGCGCCGGTACGAGATTGGTCTACGCGAGTTGTTTCAACGACGCTCTCAATCTATGTGTCGCTGCAGCCGTACTCCGGCACATTCTTCTAATTCAGCTTTGCTTGATGCTTACGTGGAGACAGGTGTGTTACTGACTCCATTCAAACTTTTCATTCGGTATATTGCCATCCTGGCTCTTGATTGCATGTAACCTGGGTGGGGTTTGCTTTCACAATATCTCGCAAAGGGTGGTTACGATTGGGCTGTTATATTTGTGTAAAAATGTATCTGCGAACGGACGGTACCAGCCATCGGTAAATGAGTCAGCCGACGGAGGTAACAATGCCACATGTACTAAATCAAAAGAGCCTTCCTTACGTTATATGCTATTATGCCACCTACTTTTATGACCTCTTTTGTTTTTCACTTGCAGCCATAGTGTTTCCCTCCCCCATTCCACCGGCTTAAGTGAAGTGTTGGACCTGAAGTGAAGTCTTGGCTGTTGGCAGGGTGCTGGCCCGCTGGAACGGGCCGGGAGCGGATGTTGGTGACTGCCCCCGAAGATTTCCAGGATGTCCTCTCTTCGACCTTGTGTCGTGACCGCACGAGAGCGTCCCCACGGGATGCCCTCTCTTCGACCTCCAGTCGTGACCGCACGAGAGCGTCGCCACAGGATGTCGGGGCGGCGCGATGACCGCCGTTGGCGATGCTCTTCATAACGCTTCGGCGCTGTCCCAGCGTCGCTGGGACAGCGCGTTTGGGACGAATGTTGTGATGAGTGCAGTCCGTGTTTTGTTGTTTTGTGGCGAAAAGCCTGCGGTGGTCTGACCAGATGATTTTTAGGTGACTGTATGTTTAGACTCGTGAGATTAAGCTGAGCTCTCTAAACTATTGGAGTTGTTTCAGCAGAGACGTGCGGCTGCGAAAAAGACCCTCGGTTTGTGCTGATCATGTGCGGTGCAAATATTTGGAAGAGGAAT